CCCACCATAAGCTCTGACTGCCCATTTTATAAATCAAAGTGAAATGTGCAGCATAAACTAATGCTATGTCATAAAGGACTGATCACCTGGACACTACCTGCAGTAGTTGTGAAGGTAAAGAAATCAAAGATGATGACAATATCATTCTAGTGAGTGTACAAAACTATTATAGTTTGGCTGTATATTATCTGTATAAAGAGCAAGAATACTCTGTGACATCAAATCTAACATTTACCATGAATCATAACAGAAATTAAATTGTAAACATATTATCTTCAGCTCCTCCATACAGAAATAACTCAAAACCTCCATGGAGGTTAACTCATCACGAAATTAAATTTTATGTCTGGGCAGCAGCTGCTCCTCTTGCGGCTGATCACACCAGCGGCACTCCTGGAAGTGCCAGCAGCGCTTCACCCAGTGCCCCCACTCCCCGGCCAGTGCACCAGCACTCCCCCTGCCCAACACCTAAGTGGGGAGCACTGCCTCTCAGGGGGAGCACCAATGCTCTCAGGGGATGCACATGCACCCACTACACATTGCAACTGGGCAGGGGTCAGGTGGGGCTCAGCTTTCCAAATATTTTTCCCCACTGCTTACGATGGGGATCTTACAGTTTTCACCAAAATAAGCATTATACATCTAAGAAATTCTGATTTAAGGTTAAATGTGAAAGGAATTAAAACATGGTGAGGGATGGAAAGGCCCTCAACTGGCTAGCTGCAAACTTTTATTTTTTAAACCTTGCAGGTAGATGATTATTTCCACCTCTAAAAACATTCCAGTGGGGAAGCACATCCCAACTATGTGCAGGTCACATCAAAGGCTAATGTTATAATGGTCGAGGACAAATATAATAATACCAATTTGGAAAAACACCTCTGCCTGAAGGCAGCTTTTCGAATCTGTCCACTGGTTGTTTGTTGAACATCAGACTTACTTTAGTGATTTAAAAACTCTCTGACACTACGCATTGAACAAGGTGTGAATTGCTCAACTCTATTACTTACTTGACTGAATCTCAACATGGGACTTGATTTCCACATAGTAGGTACGTCTACATGTTCATTAATGCACTGTAATTAAGGTGCTTTAAGTTAGTACCTGTTATTAGTACTCTGCATTAGCACAAACACTTTTTTGTGATATTTTATGGGCACTGAACTAATCTACTGTACATTAGCAGAGTTTTAGCCAGCTGCGCTAATGCACAGTAGAATTAGTCCAATGGGTATTAAGCGTCTTGTGTAGACATGCTCACCAAGACCATCACTAACCTTTAACATGCTGTAAACTCCCAGGCGTATGGCATGCTTGTTGCCCATATGGACTGTGTCCAGATGTGCAGGGGTGTGCACTTGCAGCAACAAATAGTAGCAGCACAAATTTGTGCCACTACTTTGTGCCTCAGTGCACACCCCTGCACATCTGCTTTGTTACAGGACACATTATCCCACTGTGGGCAAACTGTCCCTGCCCAGCTCCTGGCATGCTGGAGCAGTAGAGATGGTTTTGCTGGCAACCAGAGCATCTCACTGGAGGACCAAACCTCTGGTTGTTCCAGTGCATGCTATTTTTGTGCTCTGTACCACTTTTTTTCCTGGAGCTTTTTTTTTTGTTACCAGGAAATCCTGGGTACTGCACTTCTGGATGCAGCCATGAAGGGGAAAAGGAGCTTGGTCTCCATATGAAGGGGAACATACAATGTTGCATCCCTTTGCAATAAGTAGCACACTACCAGCCCACAATAGAGGTGGTTGGATGGAGCTATGGCTATACCTTGTGGAGGAAAGCAGGGCCTTTCTGACGTAGGCGCACAGTGGGAAGTATAAAGACAAAGCAGCAGCTGGGCTTGGTAATTTATTACAGTGACTGAAGACAAAAGTGGAAGGCTGACATTGAGCTCTCTAGAAATCTATAATCTCCTTAAAAGGGCATTTTTGAGACTAGAGGGTTTTTCTGAACATCGAAGACAGTGATAACATTGCACATAATTGGGCTTCCAATCGAAACAAACCAACTGAAACCTTAACTGAATATAAACATTAACTTAAAAAAAAATCTTGCTCAAGACCCAAAACAAAGACAGACAACACTTGGAATGAAATTTTTTATTAAAAAATATACAGCACTTCACAATCCAGTTTTAAAAGACCTGCAAATATACAGCCACATTTAACAAGATTAGGATTCACAGTTTGGATGGTTAGAAACAGGGGAGAGCATTTCTTATTGGTCATTCTCTATATCCTCTGACCTAGTGATTGGTGGATCCCATTTGACCTGGTTTTAAACCAGCATTTTCAAACATCAGTATCTAATATAGGCTCATCTGCACCTCACCCTGCTGTGTTGCCTGAGGCCCCAGTCCTGCACATTCTTAGGCACATGAGTAATTTGAAGTTCGGATGTGGACAACTATGATATTGACCAAGGGAGTTTATTGTGAATGCATCAAAGCTGTTGCAACCATTTTTGTCTGTCTGCTTGCGTCCCAAAGTAAATGGAAAGTGAAATAGAACCAAAGCAGTTTATCCTTGAATAAAGAGGGTTAAGTTTCGCTTCACTTATAACAGGACAGGAGTGGACAGATAAAAGTTACTACAGATGACCTGACAGCTCACAAGTGGTAAATGCCCCTCTACCTGGCCTTTAAAAACATAACTGGTCACCACTTTATGTCTTTGGTCCCACTGACATCAACAAAGACAAGTCACATTAGTCAAGAATTTCCCGAACGTGTGTGAGACCTGCTGGTCAGTATGTCACATATGCCCCACACTGCTTACTCCACAGAAGATACAAAGTATATAGTCCATGTGCTCCAAGGAGCACAAAACTATTTTTCTGCTGCACACACTCCTTCCCCATGTGTTCCAATATTAATTACAGTAGAATGGTCATAAACACATGGGGAAGGCATGAGGGAGGATTCTTTGGTTTATATTTTAAGATAAGGGAGGATTTCAATTTGGAAGAAGTCAATGGTACTGGAACATTGATGGAGTATTTCCAGTCTTGGCAAGGGAGATGGGGGGGGGTATCTGTGCATTTTCAGTCTTGGTAGGGGGTGGGTAGGAATGCATATGAATGCCTCCGACTGAATACTGACCCTCTGACTTCCTAAGCTTAAAAAAAATGTAGAAGTTAATTCCAAGTTTCTTTTTTCAGTTGTTTTGAAATATCACATCCCCCTAGTGTTGTAAAAGATTTGTAAACATGCTCATTTTATCTTGGCATTCCCTCATTTAGGAGCAGCAATTACTTGAGCTGGCCTTAAACTAAGGGGGAGGCCCTTGGGTGATCACAGAATATCCTTGAAAAAGCAGATATTGAGGGTTGTATACCCTCTCCCCACACACATTTAAGGATATATAAGAGAGGGCAGAACCAGCTGCCACTCAGCTCCTTGAACTACTTTAGGGCTCTATAGTGGTATCCTCTTACACAGGCCACCTCTGGTCACATGAAGCAGACATTTTAACTGTAATGGACTTCAGTGAGACTCCTTGGGGGAAAATACATTAAGTATTGCTCCAGTGAGTTAAGGTGGCAGAATCCGGTTACCATCATAGATTCTAGATGCATACAACTCCAACCGAACTCAATAGTGTTGTGAGGCGTGCATTTCTGGTAGCTGGACTCTGATCCTGTTCTCGTTCATTTTCCCCGTTTGTAGTATGTGAATGTGGAGACCATTACAGGGTTGGAACTGCTGAAAGCCTCACTTGAATAGTTTACAGCTTTAGTCTGGGAACAATACATTCATTTTGCTAAATCGCCTTATTTGCCCTCCAGTTCATCAGAGTCCTATTTCAATACACAGGGCACAGAACTTGGTGTTAGCAGAATGCCTTTCATCAGATGTATGGGGCTTAATGCCAAGTGCAAATAGCAAGGACATGAATGTAGAATGCCTTTAAGATTTTTCTTTTCTTTTAAAAGATAGTTAACTCCATCCGTGTTCAAGTCCTGACGTAGAACGAAACATTGTTCCTCTTTTATAAGCCATCATCCTAGCCCTTCCATATTTATATTTGTGTAAGTGGAGAGAGGATATAGGCTAACAACTGTCTTGGGGAAGTGGAGTTTTCCCTGCTCTGTTGACTCTTTCTTTCTCCATTCCACATCCCCCCTCTGCTGCAACCTCTCACAAAGCCTACATGCTGCTGTGGAGACAAGGTAGCATTTACTCTGAGCCTACCACCACAAATAGCTCTCTCCCATAACTAATCAGGGCTACCACAAGAATGGGAGGCAGGGGAAGGGGGCAATGACGTTCAATGAAGGCTCTACTGCTTTATCTAGCACCACAGGCACCAGGCAAGCTCTTGTGGTATGTTTTACATAATCAGTAGAGCTGGGGTCATTCAGTATTTTCCCTAAGCCCAGTTGTTCTCTGCCCTGAGATAGTCCTGCATTCCTGACTACCATGGTCTGCCCCTGGCCTTAGAAATACTGCAAATAAAAACCCCCCAAACAGTCAATCCCAAGAACCCTGCCTCTTTTACACTTGTGTTTTAAAGGCACCAATTCTGTTGAATTTAAAAAATAAATATTTAATTCCAAATTCTGGAATGAGACCATTAGAAAATAAGCAAAAGAATTACAAGAATGTTCTAAGGAAGCTTCTAGCTAACTAAAGTTACAAGGTTTTACATGTCTGACAGAATAAAAAGCCTGAGCATTTATAGAGTAATCACACAGTTCACATACATCCTCAAGGTATTTGCATCAACAATTTGCTGTAGAATAGCACAGGAAAGACAAGACAAGACAAAGGGATATATCCATCCATCCATTTTCAAGATTGCTGGAAATACAGACTTTAAAATACCCCTTATGATTGCTATGCTGTTAGAATGCATTCTTGTCCAGGCCAAATCCTGCCATCTTCTCTCAAACAACCTCTCACTTGAAGTCACTGGAAATGAGGACTGTTTAAGGATGCAGAGTAGAGAGTTGGATGGCTGACTGCAGTAAACTCCAGAAGCTCAGAATACACTGAAAAATGTATCATTTTATTTGTACACTTAGAAAGTTGTCATATAAATTTATTATACAGTCCTGTAAATTAGTTGTTGCTAGAAGAACTGCTCCACAGAAAGGGGAAGGTATTACATTATCAGCTGATCATCAGACAAAAAAAAGTTAGGAATAACAAAAACACAGAAAAATAATAATAAAAAAAAGTTAAGGAACTCTTTTTTTTTTTTTTATCCCCAGGTACAAATTTTATAAATACAAAACAAATTCACAAATTAACTTTGAATACTAAATAAATATCTACTTAAACTCAGACTGAATACCTCCAGCCAGCACTGGTACAGTACTTTGAAGGATATGCAAATTGTACTCATTCATGTGTAGTGTAGATAAGCTATGCTCAAAACAAGTTTTAAACATATACACAGTTTCTTCAACTGTGTTACAGTAGAAGATTTTATCTGAGTTGATAAAGCCCTCACAATACCACAGCTTCTAGAAAATCTACAGGATGAAACAAGGTCATCCAATGCAGGAAAAAAATTTCTGGAAGATATAGTTGGACACATGAATGTATTAAAAATGTACAAAACCTCTGTAAACCAGTACTGTATCCAGTACATCTATCAAAATTATTAGACACTGAATAAAACTGTAGCAAAGGTAATCTTTCCTACATTCTCCTGAGTGCTTAATATTAAATTGAGAATATAGTGCAGGCCCCACTTCAAGGTGGTTAAACAGTTGTTATTGCTTTATACAGATAGGATGACTGCATGATTTAAATGTTTTGTTTTTATGAATATAAGGTTCCCTCAAAACATCCTTTGGAAGGCAGAGGTTAGATTCGTGACTTCTTTGCAGCTGGAACAGCATGGTCTGCATTACCAGATGTCACAGGGAGTCCAAGCTTTTGAGCCTGAACATGGAAGAAAGCCTGAAGTCTAGTTCCAGCTTTTGCTTCACTTGTGTTGCGAGGGTTGTATTCAAAGCAGTTTGCGAACATGAGCTCAATATCTTCAATAAATTCCGCTGGAAAAAAAAAATGCAATGAAGAAATTAGGTTAGGGTATTTTCCACAGATACTATGCTTCACACTTCCAGTTGTAGCGCACTATAGCGTTCAAGCAGAGATGGATGCCATCCAGAAAGATCATTCTAACCTAAAGAAATCTTACCAATACTAATGCTGTGAATTTAGAACATATGTAAATGCTGAACAAGCAAGTGCTCTAGATTAACAGTTCAACAATCAGAGGCCGTTTCTCAACAAAGATTACAGCTCAGCAGCAACAATGACAACTACCCTACATGTTTCAATGTGCCACACCCTTTTCACTTTAAAAGGGTACTATCCCTAAAGCTTGAGAAATTAAGTTTCATGACTAATCATTCCTTAGGCCCCCTGCCAGATGTGGATCATGCATAGTTCCCATTTACATGCACATGTGCACTGCAGGAGGCTCAATTCCTGCAGCTGCATCAGATCTTACCATGCCTCATTACTGTTGTGTAGGTAAACCTGGGCTCCCCCCTGCACGGGCAAGTAGCAAGCTCCTGTATCTGGGAGCCACTGCAGCTGATGGGGCTGCCAGATGCAAGAATGCACCATGTGCTCCCACAGCTGACAGCCTGGTCAGCTCATTTGGACACCCACAACTGACAGGGCTCCCAGCCACAAGGGTACATCTGGCCACAGTTAATGGTGTGATAGGAACCAGCCACAAAAAGTATCACACTTTGTTGTGGAATAACCTTGTGGCTTGTTCCTTGTTTTATGATGCCATTAAATGCTTTAACGTGAAACCTGATTACAACTTAAGATGTGATTAACTGATTAATTGTGTCTTAAGTATGACAGGTGGAACACACTTTACTAATACAAGTACTAGGAATAATGATTACTACATGGAAAAATATTCATAAGTTTCTTAGAATGGTTTTTCAAACCATCAGCTCTGCTTCTGTGGAGAGAATAAAATCTATTTTAAGCAACAGTTTATACATTACTTACATGCTAACTTGTATTCACATTTATTTACTTTTTCACGGATTATATTTAAGGCAATAGGTTTTTTGATGATATCATAGTAGTCTGGTACCTGCAAAAAAGAAAAGCAGTCTTTTTATTACAGCAAAAATACATAGAAGCTTGAATTCAACTCATAAGAATCAGCTGTTGAGACATGCAGAAAGAAATCTGGTGTTTATTTAAGAGTCTTTCCTCTGTATGAGTGTAAAGATTCCCAGTTAAAAACTATAATCTATGGGATTTCAGCTCTTGTTTTCTTGATCTAAATTTTGAAAGTTGTTCAAGAGACAACAAATAAAAAGCCACTGATTTACACAGAAATCTGGTCCAGAAATGCATTAAAACCCTAAAACAAAACAAAAATACCCCCTGGTTTATAAAACTTAAATTCTTGTGTAGCAGCTGTTTATACTTGTCAAACTGCAAAAATGATTTACTGTTCCTCACACTTGTATTTGTCCTTGAGTATTTTATTACCTTACATGCTCCTTCATACTTAAGGAAGGCTATTTTTACTCCATTGCTACTCACATTCCTCCATTTTGCACCTCTTTTGGTTCTTAAAATACCAGTTCTGGTAGAAAAAATTATCCATTCTGCATGACAGGTAGAAAGTGCTGCTTACCTCCCTTTCTTCCCCCCACCCCACAAATTAAGGTAGGAAGGGAAAATATACAAGTTGTCTTTGTGTCCAGGACAATCTGGATCCCAATGTTGGTTATCCAACACAAGACTTAAATGTAAAATGTACATGTGTTTGTCTAAGTGGCTACGGCTCATCATATAACACTGAGTGAAATTTGCCAGGAAGAGGCGAGGCAAGGCAGGATGTGGAAAGGGAACTGGCAGTGATACAGGTTGGATGGATAAAAATAAAAATCACTCATTCCTCTTGCTACCTACCACCTGCCATTTATGAGGAAATGGAAGTAAAAAATACATGTTAGTTTTTAGCCTCAAATCTGACACACTGATCATCATCCAGTGCACCCAGGATTTGTAAATGCAGGTCAGCAGACTGTCTGCAGGAAGCAAGTAATTAAACTAAACTATTATAGCACTGTATAGAAGATTAAGTGTAATCAGCTGTGAATTTCTCCTTTGGAATCACATAGACTATTTTCTAGTACTAAATTTGAACACATTTGCAACAGGGCTTCTAACAATTATCTTTCAAGATCCAGATTAATCAATGTTTCCACTACAAAGCTTTATTTGAGGTCAGCCAGAGCTTTCTTTTTCCCCAATTTAATTCCAGTACACCTAGGGAGTGGCCTTCCCTCTCCTACTCTATGAAAAATTCCTCTCCTGCTTTGCTATTTACTAGGAATGCACTGATAGTGACTTTGGAGGCCAATACTGATAGCCGATTTTCAAGGAGGCATATCAGCTGATACCAGTCCGATGCCTGATACCAGCTGCGTGAAACTGGTAAGTCTGTTATGGTGGAAAGGGAGGGAGGGAGTGGGACAGGGTCAGGCACTGTCCAGCTGAGGTGGGGCAGGGCAGGCCAGGGAACAGAGCCACAGTTTGGGGGGGGGGGGCACAGGAGAGAGAGTGGCTCCCACCACTGCGTGCACCCTGGGACAGCACCAGGGGGATGCCCCCAGACCTGTGTAGGGCAGGTGGGCTGCAGCTGCAGGCTGGGGCCATGCTGGACTCTTCCCAGCAGGGGTTGAGACACCTGGACCAGGCTGTGCTCAGGGCAGGCAGTAGAATTGGGAGAGGGAACAGACTATGACAAAATCTAGGGTGGCTGCAGCTCCCTCCCTCAGTGCTGCCACACATTCCAAGCACAATGCAGCCCCCCTTTCCCTCCCCCCTGGGAAGAGCATGGCATGGCCCTGGCCCCAGTCCGCAGCCTGCCCCCTGCGCAGATCTGGGGGCATACCCCTCCCTCCCCCGTGCCCTTCTAGGGGGTGTGCATCTGTGGGAGCTGCTCCCCCTCCCCATGCCCCCTGGATGAGCTGCAGCTCTGTCCCGTGCCCTGCCCCACCCTGGCTGGGCAGCACCTACACCAGCCCCTGCCTCACTCCTTCCCTCACCAGATCTGCACCACCAGACTCATCAGCAGCATGCAGCTCTCCAAGCTGTCAGGCTGTGCTCCTTGCTGCCTGTGTGCTGTGCTGCAGCTGTACACACAGGCATTTAATCAGCCAAATTAAAATTGGCCACATTAGGCTAAGTTCCAATACAGTGAATTTTCCTTATATTGGTGCTGATCCAATATTGGACTGATGTATTGGTGCACATCTAGTATTTATAACCACTTATCTTGCTAGTAACATGTCTGTTCACAGATAACTATTTTAAATGGATCCTTCCAGCTCCCTGATGTTTCTTGTTTTTCCTCAGATTATCAAGTCTTAAACTGATAAAATGAAGATGGTGCCCAGAAATTAACAGAATGACCAGCTCTGGTCATAACCTGGCAAACCTATGTTCAGGGAGCAGTCATAATGTGGCTGAGGAGGCAGACAGCCCTGCCATTCACCTATATAAGCCAGCAGAGCTTGCAGGAGCACTTACTGTGCTCTTTCAAACACTGAAGAGAAGAGAAACTCCTCCTGGAGTTCCTACTGCAAAAACAGGCCACAGTTGAAAGAGCAATGGAACTGAGGATGTGCTGCTGTGCACCATCATCATTTGGATGGCTTGATTAACACTGGAATAAGGTCGTTCCTTTAGCACTTTTTTTTTTTTTTTAACCATGTCTCTGCTTTGGAAGTAGTTCACCATTTATAGGGCATTAAGAAACTACTTTAGAGGGACAGCACTCATTCAATTAACTTTCTAATAATTTGCCTTTCCTTTGAGTACAGACTGTCAAGAACTCTGCCATTCACTCACCTTATCAACCCATCCCAGGTCTTTAACCTTGGATACCAGGTATATTAAAACATGTTTAGTAAATGCACCAAGTTGGGAAATCTCAGTTTCTAACTAAGAATTAATTTATATAGCCAAAGATTTTAAAGCCAGGTTTAGCTGCACTCCTGTTACTGTTACCCACTACATCTGAATTCTGCTGTCAGTAAGTAATATCCAAAGCATTCACACCAGTTACCTGGATTTTGGAAACCAGTTTCATGAAAGGCCAGCTGTCATCATGTCGTACCAGCTCCACGACAAGTTGTTCAAAAGCTGACAATTCATGGACTCCACTCTGACGCCCTGAACTCCTCCTGTTTAAAGCAGTCTGAGGAGAAGAATCTGAAAAGAACACAAAATTGGCTAGAAACAACACTACTACTAATCTGGCCAAACATATATAGACACTAAACATGAAACAAGAACCATTACAATGCAAGAGGAAGGGACAAGAGAAGGTAAAAGATCAGGCAGTCTGGTACTTCAGAGAAGGAATGGGAACTTTGTCTCTCCTCCCTTGTACATCAAGTTTCATCCCTATGTAAAATAGTATCTCTGTTGATAGTTTTATTTTGCTCAAACTGCTCAGTAAGATTGGGGTGAATACTAAGAGGCAAGAGTTGCCAAGGGATTTTAGCTACCCAACTCCAAAATTTTAAATGAAATCTCATCTGTTTTCTTTAGTCCGTGGCCAGCAAGAACAGTACAAAGCTAAAAGGAACTTGTTTTGCTGTTTACTTTGAAAACACTAGTAAACATCCATTTCCATTTGGTCAAGTATCAGATAGTAAATTGGACATTATAAATTGAGAGGAATACAGAAGACTTCATTTTTGGAGACCTAGTACCAAAACAGCAGCCCCCACACAGTTCACAGTTTTGGTTCATGCCATTTTTCTTAACACTATTACAGCTTTTAGTAACCAACTCAATTAGTCAGGAATATAGGCTTTTGCTGAAGTACAGAAGAACACTGACTCTGGACTAGATCTGTATCTTTCTTGTGAGCATCTGGAAGAGAGGACTTGGGCAGAATTTAGTAACAAAGTAACAAACAATATAGACTGACCCTGCTTCAGCGGCTTTGTGGTTGCTTCAGAGGCTTTGTGGTTCAGATGCCAATTAAAACAGATGCCTCAATTTTGTCCCTAAACTAGTGATTCTCAACCAGGGTGCCACAGCACTGAGGTACCTTGCAATCCTTTCAAGAGTACCACAGCGTGCCAAGCAACATTGGCATGGTGGTGTGCAAACATGATTCACAAGATAAACTCAAAGATTTTAAATAAAAAGCCTACTGCGGGTCAATGTTTTTAACACTATGGATTCCTAAGTTCTTCACAACAGAAGAATTGCTGCTGTTATTTTCTCTATAGTCCACAAACAAGGGTAAACTACGACGTTGCAATTTCTAAGGGGTGCCTTTACTTTAACAATGGTGCCTCAAGTCTAAAAAGGCTAACAACTGCCCTAGACTTTCAAATGTGAGGCCATGCCTATACTACTGCTTCCCTTCCCCAGATTGGCCACCGAGGGAATAAACTTCACCCACTTGCAAGTGTCTGATGTGCCCTTGTAAGAGCAATTACAGAGTGTACATGGCTTGGGAGCCACCCTCAATCTTCCTGCCAGGCCATATTTAGGCTCGCTCTCCCTTTCCTCTCTCTCTCTAGCTGAGTGAGGCATGAAGAGGAGGGGGCCACTCCCAAGCTCTTCATAACAGCTAATTGCAGATGTTGAATGTGCCCCACTAGTAGTGAATAGGTGGGACTTTTTTCGTGCAGAGAACATTCAATAGGAAGAAGCTGTGGGGGCCAGGCCCAGACTAAGGCTTCTGCAGATTTGGAAGCAATCCAGATGGAATACCAAGACACCCGGCATGCCTGAATGTCACTGCAATGCAGGTTGGAGCTTGCAGGGAGCCAATATATTACTTGTCTGCAGAGCACACCTACCGCCCACCTGAGACCACAAAAGGCACCGAGTTCTGTGCAAAGTGCTGTACTCTCAATGACCAGACGTTACTTTTGAACACAGCAGTTCCCACCAGGGAACTATGTATGCTATAGTTTCCACCAGGACTTTTTACATGAGACAGGAATTGGTTAAACATACCACATAAACAAAAATAACCCTGCCGGCAAGGACTGAAACCTAGGTTTCCCCAGCCCCTTGCAGCACTTGAACCACCTGGCTAGAGTGCCAGGCTCCATTTTGGTGGTTCTTCTCTGGCCCATGAACCTTACATTCTCGGGTTGCCCAGCTTCAGCAGAAGGGATGAAAGGTGTCTCCCCCTGATGTGTCTATTGCCCAAGGGTTGGAGCTTTGTCCTAGGAAGTGGGAGATGCGAGTTAGAACCCTTCAGGTTGAAGTGAACCTAAATCCCACATCTTCCACTTCCTGGGTAAATGCTCTCATCACAGAACTGTTGCATCAAAGCTGGACATCCCGACCACCAGCCATGTTTAAGACTAAAAATCACCCCAGGCACCATGTGTTACAATGAAGCCAGTACTGGTAATGATGTGTGTTAGTGACCTGGTTGATTATGCATCCCCCTTCTGAGCACTCTGAACCCCAAGATGGAGCAACTTGCTGTGCAGTCCTAAGACATGTGTCTAAGTTCTTAGGAGGGGCAGCAGTTCAGTACACCTTGCATCTAAAGTCTCCCACTGGTTGGCTCTAGATGCCTCTCTCCTGAGCACCCAGGTGCTCTGGATCACCCTTCAGAAGCAGCTATCCTTATCCGTCGACTATAAGAGAATCTAGTTGCTTAACCCTGCCCATTCAGAGGGACATCTCAGAGCAAGGTACCCAGTTTTTTTTTTAAGAGGAGCTGCTGTGCACAACTGGAGCACCAAAAGACAATGGTTTGGATCTAACTCTTTGTACATAAATCTCTTTTAAAACAGAGGAAAGAAAGGAGGGCAGAGGAGTTGAGCAAGGTCAGTGTAGAAAGATACCTTTTAAAAACAGTATAGAAAGGGTTTTTTGGTTTTTTTTTGGTTTTTTTTGTTAGAAGGATGGAAGGCGAGCAGGGGAAAGAAGGGAAGCCAGCAGCTGACATAATGCTCTCCTGTAATCCCAAACTCCATCATACAAACACAATTAAGTCTAGTTTTACCCTATTTGCTGACCAGTACTAGCAACATAAGCAAAGCAGAGTGACCGCCTAATTACAAGGTTGTAAAGAGCACAGATTGGGACAAAAACATTAATTTTTTGGTGCCATACTTCAACCAAGCTCTGCAAGTTATCCAGTTGTGCAGTCACATTATTTAGATGCTGGCTTTCCAAAAGTATCCCCCTCCATGACTATTTTGGAATGTTAGCCAGCAGCTCAAAAGACATCATTTTCAGGTTGAATATCACTTTGTTTTACTCATTCTGAACTTCACTGCCTCACTTATTTCTCTGTTCTCCACTGTTTACTTGATAGTTACCGTTGAGACTGTGCTTCAACACTTGCCTTCAGCAGTTACACAGAATACAGGTTCAGTCTAGCTCCACTTCCATATCTGCTGTTTGATAGCTGGCAACCCCTCCACATATTAAGATCACTTGTAACTTGAATCTGTCAGGTTACTTTAAAATAGTCATTAATGCTTTGGTACTTTGAAGGGCCAACAGGTTAATTAAAATGGAAATATCTTGCAGATTATAAATTTTTCACATTATCATTTACACTTTAACCCGTTGTGTCCCCAGCCCCATCATCAACGCATTTAAGTAACGTATCTAGCATCCTTGATAAAAGAGCTTTTCTAACCTGTAGACTGCCGTTTCCGGCCTCTTCTCTTAGGTTCGCTATCCTGAAGAGAGAGTTTTGGTGCAGAAACCAGAGATTTCTGGACGCGTGCATTTGAGTCTGTGCTTTCAACAACTCTAAACCCAAAGGAACTGGAAGGACTATTTTCTGGTGTATTATCAGCTGTCTTCCGTCCTCTACGTCGTCTTCGAGGACCAAGTAATTCCACAAATACATCTGCTTGTAAAGCTCCTTGACTCTGACGAGTAGTGCGGCTGTTAAGTCTTAATGAAGGCTTCATTACTGATGGAGGAGCAGACTTTACTTTTCTTAGCCCTCTTCTTCTAGCTCTGGAGGAAGATGCAGTTTGTTTAGGTGTATTTTGCTGACTCCGGGAAGCATATCTTCCAGTAGCCTGGCGCTGGCTACACCGACTCGAGAAGGGGTTGTTGAGTTTGGCTGCCCTCATTTTTAATGGAAACTTGACTTGTGGCCTTCTTTGTTTAGACAGGCTGTACAAATGTAAATAAATAGCAGCATTACACATTTAACTATTCCAAATTATCACAAACGTCAACTCCCTCCTTTCTTCAAGGCTTTTAATTCAGTATCTTTTTAAAAACATTTACCTATTGCTCAGAGTTCTCAGAGTCACAAGTTTTATGCAGCAGATACTAGAGATAGATTTGAAACACTGGAAAACTTAATAGCAACAGCATGGTATTAGAAATTTATTATGACAGGACACCTAGGTCTGAGTCTTTAAATTTGTTTCTTGGGTCAACAGTGGTTGCTAGTATTGTACAGGAATTGCCTGCCCAACAGACTAACTGCAGTGATGACAGGCTCTTAAGGATGTCTTGTTCAGTCTTTAGGGCTAACACACAAAAGGTGCTTATGCCCTCAGAAGGGAAGAGTGAAGACTGAGAAGGGTGATCCAATGGACCACAGCATTTGCCAGTGACAGAGTCTTATGGTGATATAAAAATTCTCTCAGACTACTGAACTCCAACTTTCAGAAGTAACAGGAGCCTTCCCCTACGCTCAATACAAGTGACTGAGGAAGGAAGGAAGGAAGGAAGGAATTGTGCTAAAGACAACTTTCAACTTGGGAGCATGTTCTTAACTTGTATGTCAAGTCTCCCAAAGTTTCCATCCTGATTTATCTGACCCTAAGGAAACAAAAAAAAGTTTAGTGCATCACTCTTAGAACCCTTCTGATGCGACTTAGAGGAAGTTTTGGTTTCTTTACTGTTTGTATTCATCATACACATTGAGCTCAAAAAAAACTCATAGGAATACTCTAGATTTGATCCATAGACTTAATTTTTGGGCTCCACAATTCAAAAAGGATGTGGAGAAGCTTGAGAGAGTGCAGAGGAGAGTCATGCACATGATCAGGAGGTCAGGAAAAACAAACCTTATCACGACAGGCTGAGCGCCATGGAAAAGCGGAGGCTCAGGGGTGATCTGGTGGCCACTTACAAGGGTATCGGGGTGCTCACCAGGATCTGGGGAAACGTCTGTTCATCAGAGCACCCCAAGGGATGACAAAGACAAATGGTCACAAACTCCTCCATGACCATTTCAGACTGGATATAAGGAAGAACTTCTTTACTGTCTGAGCCCCCAAGGTTTGGGATAGACTGCCGCCGGAGGTGGTTCAAGTGCTACCTTGAAGGTGTTCAAGGAGACGCTTCAATATTTGTCTTGCTGGGATCCTATGATCACTGCTGACTTCCTGCCCCTAGGGCAGGGGGCTGGACTCTACGATCTTCCAAGCTCCCTTCCAGCCCTAGCGTCTATGAATTTGAAGTCCATGACCTACCTGGGAATTTACATTTAGAACAGCACCTCTCCAGAGTATCAAAATTTATCCCTGCAACTTTAGGCATGGAAAGGCATCCAACGAGAAGTGACCTCTGGTGGTGGTCTACCACTTGCACATTTGTTAAAGAGGGATTATCATCCGTAAGTGCAAAAATATCCATTCTTAACACCAATAAACAAACAACAACAAAAAAACACCAATAGCAAAGGCTGAAGTCACCATCACCCTAACTATCTATAATGCTTTCAGACTACAACCAAAGAGACAGACTAAAGGTGCATTTAAGAACTGAGAACATTTAGTAATCTAAGGACAGCTGGTTCTCAGAAAAAACATTTCTACAGCTCCTGACCTACCTTATTTCTTCTTCTTCTTGAGATTCGTCATCATCATCATCTTCTTGCTCTTCCTCATAATCCTCATCTTCACTCTGTCCCACTTCCTCATAGCTTGCCTCTTCTTCCTCTTTGTCAAACTGTTCTGCAGCATCTTCATCACTTTCCACAGACAGTCTCTGTCTTGAGGAGAGGCGTCTAGAGCGCTGTTTTGGTCGGCATTCTGGACAAAACCAGTCTGCTTCAGGAATGGCCTGGTAAACAAAAATGCATTAGTGAAATGCCTCCCATGTTAAACCTTACCTGAATTATGGATTTTCAAAAGCATTTTTTCCTCCCAGTACCTTGAGCTTGGGCCTGATACAGTAGGTATGATAACCTCGGTCACAGCCATCACATAGCACCATGCTTTCTGCATCACCCTTCTTTCGGCACATCTTGCAGCGAGCATTTAGGATGGATTTAGACCAGATGACGCTCCGATCCAGTGTAGAGAGATGCAGGAACACTTGGGACAGGCTGGTAGAAGAAAGAAGAGATTCCCTCCAGCGATCCAGAACTGTTTTATATGAACGCCCACCATCACTGGCATCTTGCATTAAAAGGGAAGGAAAAAAAAAAAAAAAAGCAATATCACATTACTTAAAATGAACATCCATGTTTATTTTAGAGTGTGAGGCTTCTAGGATTTTAACCTCATGTGCAAAGGTAATTTTTTTAAATTTGGTTTAAATAGTAAAAAAAAAAAAAGAAAAAAGCAACCTATTACTGCTTTTCTTTTCCATTCAATGCCACAGATTTCCTGGCTTCCATCCTTGTCCAAATATTTTGAAGCAAGCCAATGAACCACAACTTTTACTTGTGTATTTCAGTCTTTAATACCAAACTGATGTCATGCAGGGTTTGCATATCTGTGTCAAGTGTCTTGCTTCAGTATCAGATTTGAAACCCAACCTGTCGTTAAATCAGAAGTGTAAATGAACCTTGTAGTCTTAATTTCATTAGTGTCTTAACTGAAAAATTCCCAACCACCTCTCCCTCACATATCCACATTTGCAGAGGTCAAAGAGGAAGTAAATTTACAGCAATGATTTATTAATAATGCTAATGCAGTATTATAATATTCTCTCAATTAAAAAAAGAATCAACCATGCACCCTAGACTTAAAAGGAAAAAAAGCAGTCATTCTAAATTGCATGATCCTCTGCTGCAGGGATCCTAAAATCAAACAAGTGAGAAGGAACCCATTACGCACACATTACATAAAACTTATCTCCAGTCCCTTGGACAGACTTGCAGAGAGGACTTCTGTGAAGGCCCGGTGTAGTGTAAACTACATGGACTTGAAATAAGTGTAGAGTGGCTCAAGAGAATCACACCCCAGGCAGCTTCCTCTTTACCAATGCATACAGAAGGTAAGGGCAACACTGTGGCCCAGTGCTCTCCAAATGTCCGACAAATTTATGCCAGCTATAATGCTGGTAATTGGTAAAGTTTTTGCATGAATAGAAAAAGCAAGCTATTGCCCACACAAGCAGAGAAAGTCAATACAGTAACTTTGTAACTAAAAAATGGCGCGCTCTCTCTTTTTTTTTTTTAAAAAAAGGAAGAACACCTAAAGTGATATTCTTGCTCCATTTATAGTTTCATAGTTTCTAGGGTCGGAAGGGACCTGAGCAGATCATCTAGTCCGACCCCCTGCCATGGCAGGAAGAGCACTGGGGTCAAATGACCCCAATAAGGTGGTCATCCAACCTCCTCTTAAAAACCCCCAGGGTGGGAGCCTGCACCACCTCACATGGAAGCTGGTTCCAGACCCTAGCCGCCCTGACCGTGAAGTAGCGCCTCCTGATGTCCAACTTAAACCTTCCCTCC